AAAATATTAACATCTTTGTAATGTTCGTTATTCCCAACCAGGAACCTGGTATGTCACTGTGTTTATTCAAGTCTTATTTCTCTCCATTGCTCTGTGACTTTGAGAAAATTAATTAATCTCTTTTTTACTTAGTTTACTCATTTGTAGAATGGGAATAACAATGCTATCTATCTCAAGGGGATGTTGTTAGAATTAGGTGAAATAATTAATAATAAGTACACACAACAGTGATTGGCATATTCTAAATGCCCGGTAAAAGTTAACTATTAAAGTGATGATTAATATTATTAATTGTAATAGTTTTTTGATTCTCATATTGTCTGAGAGTAATGTTGATTTTATTTCTTTCAAGTAGTATACTCTTTACTTCTGTCTTGTATTCTATTTATTCAACATATTATTATTATTTTTTTAATGCCTACTATGAGCCAGGCATGTTCTTTAACTACCCAATATGCTGTACAAATAAGACAGACAAGGTTCCTGCTCTCATGGAGCTTATATTCTCATGTCGGCTGATGTTTTTGAACAATACTAAATAAAAGAGGGTATTCTGGTTTTATTTTTGTTTGTAATAATAATCTTCAGTAGTTCACCCCTAAGTATAATTTTTCTTATGTTATAAGACAAGTATTTATCACGCTAAGAAATATCTAGTTATTAACAGTGCTCCTCCATTTTATTCAGTCAACACATGTCACCAAGTGCCTATCATATGCTAGGTGACGCTCTGAGTGCTGGGCGTACAATGATAAACATATGCCCTCATGGAAAAGCAGTCTAATTAGAGAGACGCACATTAATAAGATTTTTATACAAACTGTGTGATTATTAAAAACAGGTGTTGAATTTTATAAAATTTTATTTAAATATCTATAGATGATAATATTTTATTATTTAAACTATTAAACTGATGCATTATATTAAACTTTTCTTAATTTTATAACATAAAAATATTATAGCATTACAGTATAATAAGGATTTTCACGATTATACTCCTGTGTGAGCTTGACAAATAGTTTGCAAATAATAATTTGAATTTTATGCAGAAAATTCTTGTTTGACATTTGGAGAATATTTTCTGATAATGTTGGTCTGATCAAGTTAGAAAAGTACAATTATTTGAGAGACTGTTCTTGAGGTTCATCTTTCTACCTCTGCTCTGAGTCTCTCTTAATGCACCTGAAACAGATTTGAATTTGTGTTCTTTTTTGGGGGTGGGAAGGAGAGGGACAGGGGAAAATAGAGAGAGAGAGATGCTGGCTAGGAATCAGTATATTAGCTAACATTTATTGAGAGATCACAGTGATGGCAACTGTTCTGAGAGCTCTCTATGTATTAACTCACTCAGTCCTCAAACAGCTGTATGAGGTAGGCAGTAACACTGTCATTTTTGTAAGAGGCAAAGAAATGGAGGCACAGAGCCAAAGGCTTCAGAACTGGACAGTGGCCAAGTCAGGTTTTAAACCCAGGTAATCTGGCTTCAGAGCCAACATCCTTAACTACTCTGGTAGGTGTATGAGTCAAGATAGGTAGGTTATGGTACCATAACTAACATCAAAACTTAGTCTTTAACAAAACAAAAGATTGTTTCTTTCCCATGCAAAGTGTGTGGTGGGATTGGGTAGCTCTCCACAGAGCCAGTTCTCTGTATGGTGGCTTGGAATTCCAAGTGTGTCTTCAGTTCTGCGTTCATCTTCTGGCAACTCAACACCAACATTTGTATCTACGATCACCAGGTGGGGGAAGAGGGAGAACTTGGAGAATCACACACTGGCTTAAGCTTCTGCCTGGAATGACCCATCACTTTTCATAGTTTATTGGCTGGAGCAAGTCACATGAGCCAACCCTTACTTCCAGAGGTAGGAAAATGTAATCTTATGTGCCCAGGGTAGAGAAGAACAAGTTATATTGTTGACAGCCCTTATGTCACCATGATATGAGCTTGTACAGTAGCCCTGCTATTGACTGGCTATGTGACCTTCAATAGGTCCCTGTGCTTCCAATTTTAACGTCTAGAAAAAAACAAGATTACTTTATTTATTCAATTGGTACCCATTATATATTGAGCACTTACCATGGGCCAGGCACCATGGGACCCTGGAAAAGCAATAGTAAACATGGTGCAATCGCTGCACTCAAGCCATCTGCAAGTTAATAAATATCATACTGTTGATTTTCAGTTCTAAAATGCCAGAATTTTATTAAAATGCAACAGTAATAAGAAGCCTTCTAGCATTATATTCTAGAGACTCAGCCATTTTCTCAGGAGTTTCCCCCTTTCTGAATCAATTTAGCTACAGTGTCAACTCCGTCACACCAGCAGATACACGAATGCTCATCATTTTCAGTCCCTAGTATATGTATACACTGTACGGATTGTAAAAACTAAAGCAGCCTTTGGACTACTCTCACAGCAATTTTGAATTTAGTGGGCAGAACACTTCATAAAAAATAGAAGCAAGTCAGTTTGATTGAGAAATACCCAGGCAGAGAACTTGCCAAACATTGTACATTCCAGATAGTAAAGACTTGTTTCTATTACTTATGAATAAACCAAATTATAAAACTTAAAAAAATTTGAAAACATTTTGCTTTACAGTTAAGTTTTCCCGAGAGGACTATTTTTTTTTGGTATAAAATAGAAGAAATAAGAATAAGTATACTTGTGAGCATGCACAAAACTGGTTTGCCAAGTTTTTAAAAATCTCTTAGGACTTGAAGTAGCCTGCCAAATTTTAACTTACTAGTTGCCTCCAGTCAAAATACAGCTACAATGAAAAATCTATAGGAATTTGAGGAATTGTATCTGAACATGATGCATCAGTTTAAAATTTGAATAAAATATACAAAGAATTCCATTCTACTTTTCATTGGTGCAATTGTGGTATTTCCTTCAGTCTTTAATACCGCATTTCCAGTTCTTAAACCAAAAATAGTGATGCAATAGTTGGATGTGTCTTACTCTAAATAAACTTCTGGTTAATCACACCCATTTCTCATCCTTTTACAAGCCTTCAGCACATCAGAGATACTAAGTTAGTTTTGCAATATAACAGTTTTTGACTAATTTGCTACTCATTTGTACTTTGAACTTACTTAATATTGGTATGTTTTTTTCCCCTTCTCAATAGTAAAACAAGGACCAGACCATGATCATATACTCTCATAACCATGTTCATATACTCTCATTACCTCTGGTTTGCTCAGTAAGCATACAATGCTTATATCTGGGTTTTCTTGAAGGCAAATTAAGAATGAACAAGATCTTTGAGTATGGCAAGGGCTTAGAGGAGCTGGTTTTATTTACTGAAGAGAGATCAATAACCATTCTTTATATTCATTATACATATTCTGTTCTCCCTGAGTAATCCAATCTACTGTCATGAAGTCAAGTGCTATCTTTTGTCTTCCAAATCCACATCTCCAGTCCTGGTCTCCCAGAGGTCCATTTCGCCACCATCACCCTCTGGTTATCTACACAAACAACTCATACTCAAAAAATGTGAACAAGAATGCTTTATCTTCTTTCCCCAGAGCAGCTTCTTTTGCTGCGGTCTCTTTTCCAGGATGGCCCAATCACCCATTTAGCCATGAAGCACCTGAGTCATCCTCGGTTTTTCATCTTCCTTATCCGGCACCAAGTCCTGTTGATTCTACTTCTTTAATAATTCTTGAATCCATCCTCTTCCTACAATGTCCAGCTTTGATTCAGGTTTTCATTTCCTACCTGCTTACAGTAACAGCTTCCTAAGTAGCTTTCCTGTCTCCAGCCAGGTTTCTTCCCATCTTTTCTCTCCATACCCAGACCTGTGACTTTCCTCACATGCAAATCTGACCACTTCAGTGTACAACCACTTCCAATTTCACTCTATTGACTGGATGGGTGTAGTTCCACATTCTTGTCCTTTCCAAGTTTGGGGGGCCTTCACGGAGGTCTCAGACCACTGTGTCCTGAGAGCTATGCCCATTTTCACTCTCCTAAAATGCTCTGTGCCTCAAATCATCCTTGCCCGCCTCAGTAGAGCCCTTTCTCCGATCATGCTCGCCCTCTTCCTGCTCATGGTCATTTGTTTTGCTTTGTGGTGATAGCAGAGGACAAGGGGATGCGAGGAAGTGGGGCGGGGGCGAAGAAATGAAAAGCACTGAAAAATCTGGAGCCCAGTTCCCTGATGCTCTTTCCCTTTCAGTCCACGGTCTTCTTTGGTAAAATGTTTTTTACTGCATACTGTGTGCATAGTTTTTGAGTGGCTTTGAGTGGGCTGTATTACGGCAGAACGCGAGCCTCAAACAGCAGTATTAAAGTTTAGCTAAGCTACTCCATTTTGTTTGACCGAAGAGCCCAGGGGGGCCTTGAACTGACACTAGCCCCCTAATGCAAGTGCGTGTCCTGGACAACAGCCTGCACAGTCCCAGGCAAATGTAATGACTTCCCCAACAGCCCCATGATCAAGTTTTTTCCTTGCTTCCCAGGGCCTTCACCTTGGGTGCTCCTTTGAGACTTTTGTGGGACTTACCAAAACTCCATTCTTTTCTGTTTGAATTGACCAATCTGGCCTTAGCTTGGGAACCCCACAGACTCTCCACAAACTCAAATAAAGGCATGTGCCCCAGGTCCTGATCCCTCTCTGTGTCTGCACCTTCCCCTAACCTCTTCACAGGGCCTCTCAAGGCCTGCTGTGTACTTCCTCCAGGACCTGTGAGTAATAAACTTATCTATTTCAATTTTTCTTGTGGTCTTTTGTTGAACGGGGCTCACCATCTGGCACTCTGTGCGCCACTTAACAAATCATGATTTAGCAAAGTCACAATAGGCGATGACCCTGTCTATTGATCTCACTCTAACCTGAGTCCACTGTATGACTTAAGAAGGGTTTTTTTCTAATAATAAAAAGAGTAAAAGAAAGAAGGAAAAAAATGATCTGTTGAAAAAAGGCAAACTTTCAAGATAATCTTGAATTTTAGTTTAAAATAACATATCCTGGGAAAGAGGCATTTACCTTCTGCTGCGGAAATGTGGACTCCATCATGGCTGTTTCAAAGCTGTGAGCACCGTCTGCCTGGGTTTTCTCCCACAGAGATCTGAGAAATTGCACAGAACGACTCTGTATGGACAGGGGCTCCGGAAATAGGCTCTGAAAGGACATTAATGAGAAAAACATGTTATCTCTTGTCACAACAACATTGTTTGATTGACTACAATGCACTATTTGGGCTTGGTTTGAACTTTTACATGGTTTAAATTTAAATAAAACAACAAAGAAATCTATCTTGAAGATCAAACATATGATACATTTTAGGTTTTTCCTTTATTAACAGAAAAATTAAAATTCTTAAATAGGATTTTGAAGCCAGTTGATACTGGTCTCTATAAATATGCCTAACCTTTGTAACATAGTATTTACTTCTATCATTTCCCAAGCATGTTACCTAATTGGAAAATAATTAATATAAATATTCATATTTATTGTTTGAAGCTTTGAGAACTAAGGTACAAAATTAAATCTAAAACACAAATATCAGAGTAGGTCATAAGAATAGAAATTAAATAACTGAGTGTTCATTTTGCACATACTCAAACATGAACAGTGTGAGTGGATATGTGGGAAAGAGAAACACTTTTAATCCTTAAATATATAATGAGTGAATATTCCTAGAGCTTTAAGATATTCTAAGTCTTATATTAAAGATTGTTAATGTAAAGAAAAGCACATTGATATATATTTCATTCAAGCTAATGAAAATAACATTTTCAACTAAAGATTTGTGTTTGTATGTTTTCTAATCAATTATGTGTTTAATAGTCATTTATGTATTTGATGTTATACCTATAAATACGAGAAGCATTTGAAGGGATCAATTTTATAAAAGCACAGAACATACACAAAGGGCATAAAATACTATTTATATACATATAGAACCATATATATTATATTTTAGGTTGAGGTATGATAAAATAATGATACTGGCTTATAAAATCCTATTTTCTATGACCATGACATCTAAGCATTCACTTATGAGACTCTCTTGGTAGTTTGTATATGAAAAGTTTGTATTTAGTAAATAAAACTTAAAGTTTTTCCAAAAATATGTCATTATTATCATTAAGAGGAGCGGTTTCTCGTACAGAGTGAGGAAAGGTTAAGAATTTTATACTCTGAGTAAGTGGCCTGTAGATTAAAATAGGCTCAATGTCAGTAACGGTTAAATTGATTATGCAACCATAATGTAGATACATCTTGGAATGTATTGATCATTATCAGAAAACTTACACAGCACATGATTTTTTTTTTTTAATTTAAAGAAAAGCAGAGCCTGATTTTATTAATCACCAATCCAAAGGAACATTTAGTTTCCTTTGAAATGAGTGAATTTGAAAGCTCCATGAATGTGTTAAATTGACAGAGAGGAGAAAAAGCCTGGCCCAGCATACAAGGTTGGGTTTGTAATTATCAAGTCAAAGATTTGATTTTTATTCAAATCTTTTATTGATAGTGTGAAGTCAAGGCTTATCCAGACCACCCAATATCAAAGGTGTGGAAAAAGAAAAGAACCATTACAGTAAAATAAGCAAAGAAGAAAAGCAGTATAAACATGTTTTTGGTGATTTTGCTTAGAGAAAGATAAAGAACCAGACTAAGTCAATAAAATAAGATAAAGGGGCAAAAATAAAAGCAAGTTTCCTTGGTTTGTTTTCAGAATACTGACAACTGTTAAGAACAAAGCCAAAGATCAAACCAAATACAAAATCACTGATGAAAACTATTTGAAAACTGTAAGTAAAGAAAACTAAGGTCATTCTTTTATGAAATGGAAGAAAAATCAATGCTGTTTTTTTTCTTTTGTATTCCAACACAATTTGATTCACATCAAAATGTGAGTTGTTCTTTCTAAGATATTAGTAAGTCTTATAGAAAAAGATGGTGGTCTTAAGTCATGTCTAATCTGTCTCTTTTCTTACTTACTATAGTTTCACATTATGATATATTCACCTGCCTTTATTTATAATAAATATAACTATCTGGTTGGTGACTTTTGTAGGAGCTATTTTAGAAATATTTTATTAATAGAAGTAAATAAACTATTTTAGCACTTCCTAGTTTTTAAACATCTTAAAACACCTGAATTCTGTTTTTCCCCCTTTCTTCCCTGCACGTGCCTGCATCCACTCATTATATTTATTCTTTTAACACATGTGCAACAATGAAAAGACCACCGTATCGGAGTCAGTTGGTTTGAATTCTGCCCTTCAATTTTCTTATCTGTAAAAATGATGTCTAAGATCTCTTCTATTACTAACACTTCATAATCTATATTCAAATTTTATGTGAAAATCTAATGCATTCCAAATAAGAATCTCTTTTGATGCTAAAACATTTGCATCAAATTTTTAAATTTAATCTTTATTGTATTTTCCCCCATTACCATTTAGACCCCTTATGCCTGCTAACTCCCCAGCAATCTGCATCAAATTTTTTACTGTTAAGTTGAAAGTTCTTCATCATGTAATTTTGCCTTTATATATATATTTTGTGGAAAAAGTAGCAATTGTAGCATATAAAAATGTTAAAAAGGATGTGTGGACATACAAATTAATTGGATATTGGAAGGCTATAAGTAAAGGCTAGCTCTACATAATCAAAGTTATTCCCCCAAATAAATACTTTTGTTATTTGTTGAGCAAGAAGTATTTTCTCTTTCATTCTCCTTTTTAAATAGATATTAATAGAGTTGGCCTTCTGATTAGTAAGTTGGGGCTTTTTATAAGGAAAGTATCCTAAAATATAAAAAATCCTTATTAAATAAAATTAGTGATGAAATGTGTGTACATTGTTGTTAACTACATATCAACTTTGGTCAAAGAATAATTCATTAAAAATGCTTATAAACTCATACCCCATGAACTTAAATTATACACACCTGCTGAAATAGAAACATGATCTGGATCCATGGCTGAGGTTCTTGGCTGATGAGAATAAAACTGGATTTACTGTACAGGCAGTAATGACCCTTCAGAGAGCAGGTGAAGAACAACTTGGCTACACAACTTCTAACAGAATCTAGAAACAAATACACATACCGTTGAACATTTGATTCTTCTCCAAGTTACACTTTATACTTCAATACACAAACACCTTTAGAAATACATTATTCAGTTTTCACCCTGTCAACTAATAACTCCCAACAGTTGTGTATTTGGGAGTGGTTTCATTTCATGGAATGTAGATTTAAATTCTTTTTTAAAAGTTGTAGTTTATCCATCTTTTTGTTGTAATTAACGATGCATGAGGAATCTCCCAGCAAACTCACATGGAAGAGAGAAATCTCTCTCCATTCAAGAGAGAAATACTGTGTCATCTCCTTCTGGTTGAGTATGTGGAAATGATAATCTGGGAAGAACAAGCAAGTGGGCAGAGGAAATTCAGGCATTTTTCAGATGGTGGGTAGGGTAGTGTGTCATGAACCAGGGTCACTGTTCAGTTGGTTGTGCAGGGGCCACATGGACAGCTTCTAGAATAACTCTGGCCTGAGATGTGGCTTTCTGTGGACTGGCCTGTTCTGATTCAAAAAGGTCATTTCATCTTGAAGAGCTTCTACAGGGAAGCTTAACGAGATCATCCTTTAGGGACAAGAAAGTGGGGGAGGATGCTGGGAACGAAGTAGAACAGAAGCAGTGAGAAGCTCTATGTAGGAGGAGCAGTTTAATCTTTACAATCCTATGGTATGGGCATTGCGATTTCTATTTTTAAAGATGAGGGAACTTAGCTCATTTGAAGGTCAGCTTAGCAAACCACTCTGACTGCCTTGTTCAGCACTATGACCTTGGTATGTGATACACAATACATGCTCCACAGAGAATATCAGGACAGATGAATGATGCTCAGAGATCCAGGAAAAATTGCTGAAGACTGCCTAATCTGTGGCAGAAGCAGGATTGGAACTCAGCCGAACTGATGCCATGTTGGAATGCTTTAGGCACTACCATACTGGAGATGTTAGAATCTGTAGTCATATTAACATTTCATGTGGTATTTCTTATTTCAGAATTAATCTGACATTTTACATGAAACATTTGGAATATTAATCAATTCAGCATGTCCTACTATTAAAAATGGAAATGGATTACAGTTTATTAAAAGTATGTGGGGACCCTAAGAAGGTGAAAGAGTCAGTCACTGACTGCATATTAGGGGTCAGGTGTAAAGGCATAACAGGTGTTTCAGGAAGAGTTTGGAAGCTTTCAAGTAGAGTGGCTAATGAAATCTTACTAATATTAAGAGCATTTTGTGATTCTGACACACTGGTATGCAAGACAACTAGTTTTCATGAATGTTTTGGGGAATTAAAATGTGTTGAGTTGCGCATTTGATATCCTTGTTTAAAATAAGAAATTATTCCTGCATTCTGGGGGTGAATGGATCATGAAATACAAAGAGAGTTTGAAGGTTCAGTGGAAAAGACAAGGAAACCTGACTCTGAGGAAAAAAGAAAGAAAGAAAGAAAGAAAGAATGAAAGAAAGAAAGAAAGAAAGAAAGAAAGAAAGAAAAGAAAAGTCAAGATGGCAAAGGAGTGAATGGAAGTCAAACTGACTTCCTCCAATGACAAATCTGGAATTACAACTAAATTGTGGAGAAATCATCTGGAACAAACAACTGAACAATAGCAAGAGAGAAGCCTTATAACCTCGAACAGACAGAAGAATCAGCTTTAGCACAACCTAACTGGTAAAGAGTATGGTACAGACTTGAGAAGGCTGACAGGGTACCCACGGGTGGAAGCACCAGAAGGATATTGAAACAGCCGGCTGGATCCCCCTGAGAAGAGTGAGGTCTAAACCATAAGTGGGGATCTCCAGCCTACAGAACCAGAGCCAAAAAAGTACACAGATAACAGCCAGCTGTGAAAAGCTTCAGGGTTGCTCTCTGCCACAGACAGGTGGCTGGAGACACAAAGAGCTGTTTAAAGGGTCAACGCATAAATTTTTATTTGAAGCCACTTACCCTGGTCTCTGGTGAAGGCAGGGACAGAGTGGGCTAGAGACGACTGTGGGGAGACTGGGGAAGAAGGCTTTGGGAAGAGAAATGAGAGAATAGCCGGCGGGATCCCAGTGCTGACTCATCTCCCATGCGGCAGCAGCCATCTTGCTCAGGCAAACCACTCCCCCAAGAGGCAGCAGCGTGAGAGGACACACTAGCCCCGCCCCCAGGAGGGACTCTGCCCAGCCTTGTGATGTCTAAGCCTGACTGTTGAATGTAGAGTGACTGGATTAACATCTGAAGGAGACAGCCACAGAAAGTAGATTCCTGGAAGTCTCAAACAGAGTGCCTTATGTCAGACATCTGCATCAACATCTGACATCATCATAGGCAGACCCAGAAAGAAAAAATAGCGGTCTCCTACCATAGAAGTTTGCACCACAAAGTCAGGAAATCAAGACAGATCAATCAAAGAAGCAGAAGCAAAAAAGAAGAGTCTCACAAATAACGGGAAGACAAAGAAATACCCCCCAAGCAAAGGAAAGGAGGAATCTTCAGAAAAAGAACTAAATGAAGTAGAGGCAAGTAAACTATCAGATATTGAGTTCAAAACAATGGTTCTAACGAAGCTCAATGAGCTCAGTGAGCTCAGAGAGAATTACAAAAACTACAGGGAAACTACAAGGGATTTCCTGCAAACTATATCAGTGTGAAAAAGGACATAGGAACTATCAATAAGAGACGAGAGGAAACGAAGAATACAATTTCTGAATTGAAGAACACAGTAGAAGGAATCAAAAGCAGGCTAGATGAAGCAGGGCATCGAATCAGCAAGCTGGAGGACAAGGTAGAATAAAGCTCCCAGAAAGAGCAAGAAAATGAAAAAAGGCTCAAAAAGAATGAAGAGGCATTTAGGGAAATGCAGGACAACCTGAAATATAATAATATCTGTATAATAGGGATACCAAAAGGAGAAGAAGAGGAGGAAGGGATAGAGAACCTCTTTGAAAAAGTAATGATGGAAAACTTCCCTAATTGGAGGAGAAAAAAAGTCACACAGGCCCAGGAAGCACAGAGGGTCCCATTCAAGAGGAACCCAATGAGGCCCACTCCAAGACACATCATAATTAAAATGGCAAATATCAAAGACAAACAGAGAATCCTAAAGGCAGCAAGGGAGAAATAGGTTATAACATAAAAGGGAGCCCCGGTACGGCTAGCAGCTGACTTCTCAACAGAAATACTACAAACCAGAAGGGAATGGCAAGAAATATTCCAAGTCATGAAAAGCAAAGGCCTGCAACCAAGACTGCTCTACTCAGCAAAGCTCTCAATTAAAATGGAAGGTGAAATACGGAGTATCCCAGACAAAAGAAGGCTAAAAGAATACACCTCCACCAAACCAGCACTGCAAGAGATGCTAAAGGGACTGCTTTAAGAAGAAGAAAAAGTCTATGAATACTCAGTTCTTCTCACAGTCACCCATATTTTTAATACTTATTAATATGATTGTGACAATGATGTGTTATTTTAATTGTTCCTTTATTATTTGTTGAAACTAAACCTGCTTTTGTATATTTATTGCCTATTTCTATTATTTTTAAAGAGCTTTAAGTGACTTTTTTGTATCTTTATCCATTTTTAATTGTTTTTGTAGAACTTTTTCCCCTAAAAAAACCGATTAACCTTTTTTCAGATGTGTTGCAAATACTTTCTTATTCTATTTCTTGTCCTTTCACTTTTTTATGTGTATATTACTGTATAGTCTTAAGTGTTTAATATAGTCATGTTGTCAATATTTTACTTTTTAGCTTCTGGGTTTGAATATTTTACTTCAGGGTAAGAAAAATATTATTTTGTATTTTCTGCTAAAACTCCTTAGGTTTTACATATCGATTTTTAATACAGCTGAATATTTTTTGTTTAATGTGTGAAATAGGGCTCTATATTTGTTTTATTTCAAGTAATAGTGCTCCATACACCTTATTTGTTGAATAAGCCTTATTTTCCCCACTGATATAAAATATCAATTTAATCATATATTACACTGTTATACAGATATATACATTTGTTTCTAAAATGCTCATTTTATTTCATTGATATATGTAGTTATTTCTGTGCTGGTGTCATGTTGTTTTAATTTCTGAGACTTTATAATGGTTTTAAATTTTTAAATATTTTATAATAGATTTTGACATATAAAAAATCAATCAATCAATCTGCATTTAAAAAAAAAGAAAGAAAGAAGGAACTCCTACTTTTTACAACAATATGGATAGAACTGGAGAATATTATGCTGAGCGAAATAAGCCAGTAGTTGAAAGACAAATACCATATGATCTTACCTATAAGTGGCATCTATTCAATAAAATAAGCTCATGAACAAAATAAACCACAGGCATGGAAACATGGAATAGACTGAAAGTGACCAGAGGGTATGCGGGAGGAAGACAATGGTGGAAAGAAGGGGAAGGGACGAGACAAAGACCATGTATGAATGACCCATGGACATGGACAACAGTGTGGGGACTGCCTGTGGGAGTGGGGGGTAGAGGTGGGACAGGTGGAGCGGGGGTAAAGGGGGAAAAATTGAAACAACTGTAGTAAAATAAACATGATTTTAAAAAAATGCAGAAAGAAAGAAAGAAAGAAAGACTTCAGAATAGAATGCAGCACAATATCGGCTTAAAAGTGCCCTATCAGAATTTCTTTGACAACGGTAATGAAAAATATACTTTTGCACTGGTGCTCTGAAAAATAGAATTTAAATTATTCTATACTAGAGAAATAAGAAACCAAGTATATTGTAAGAGCAACACAGAAATGGTATTTGAAATAAACCTAATGTATGTAGACATTGAGATAGCAATATGTTTTGTTTTAATAGAAAGTTTCAAAGCAGTCAAAGTTCTTTTCTAAGAACCCAATGCAGCATTGTATCAGTTGCAAGTTGGACTTCAGGCCTCTGCCATGAAAAAAATGTTTTTGTCTATTTCCTTTGCTAAATTCTTACTGATCATTCATGTTTTCTTTTGAAAATGAACATTGCTTAGATTTATTTACTCACCCTGAGTCTACCAGT